CTCTCTAGAGATCTTGCAAGAAGATCTCTCTCAAGAAGATCCTCCTCCCTAGTTTCAACAAGTCGAATAACCTAAGTCCAATAACACAGATGGATGTTAAGGGTCAGGTTATGAGAGTTAGAGAAAATAAATTTGACAATGGTGAAGATTGTCGATTGCAATTTTTGTGCAAGGAAATAGAATTTTTCAGACCTCTATGCTCTAGAACATCTTTCATATAGAGAATGAGATCATATTTATAGTTTTTTTAGAAGAATATCTTGATAAATTTGACTAAAATTCAAAATATTTTATCTAATAACTTATATTTATCCCCATAATTCTAAATCATTAATTCAGCAATTGAGTACCTTAATCAAATGTAATTAAGCATCATAAAACTTCCCAAAGCTCATACGGATCATGAATTTGCGACAAATCAGCTTGGATTCTAACCTAGCACTTGCTCCACAAACTGCTCGGAGTGAACCATTGTCGTCTTCTCATTCTTATTTTTCCCCCCTGTAAAGAAGGCCTCTTGCTTTCATGCATACCAGCGTAAAACTCTCGAGCCATCTCCCTCAACTTCTTCTTCTCTATCTTCCCCGTCGAGTTCTTCGGAAGCTCCTCCAGGAACACCACCTTTCTCGGCACCATAAAGTGTGGCATGTTGCTCCGGCAGTACCCTAATATTTCGTCCTCCGTCAGCTTCGTTGCCACCTCTCCTTTCACAACTACAAACGCGCATGGCGTTTCTCCCCAGCGAGCATGAGGCATCGCAACCACCGCAGCCTCCAACACCTCGTAATAACTATGCAACACATTCTCCACCTCCACGCTGCATATGTTCTCCCCACCTGAAATAATTATATCCTTTATCCGATCCTTGATCTCCACGTATCCATCTGGGTGCACGACTCCGACATCCTCTGTTAAAAACCACCCGTCCCTAAACGCCTCTGCAGTCGCCTTCTCATTCTTAAAGTAACCTTTCATCACGCTACTCCCGCGTAGCACAATCTCGCTGACGGCCTTCCCGTCTCGCGGGACGCTCTCCATTGTTAACCCAGATGTTTCCTTCACGTCTACTTCGGTAAGGATCAGGACGCTGATCCCCTGCCTCGCCTTTAGCCTCGTACGCTGCTCTGCAGGAAATTGGTTCCACTCCGCTCGCCACTCGCACACCAACGCTGCTCCCGTAGCCTCCGTCATTCCGTAAGCGTGAGTGACGTGGAATCCCATCTTCATTACCTTTTCAAGAAGAGAAGCCGGCGGAGGGGATCCACCGGTGAGCACCTCGACAGCAAAGTTTTCTTGTGATCCTCCGCTTCGCAAGAGTCGAAGAGGATGTTGAAGACGATGGGCGCACAACACATGTGGGTGACTCCATGGTCGGCAATGGCCTTATACATAACCTCAGTTGAAGTAGACTGAATGCAGACGTTAGTGCCGCCGCGGGCGGCAATACCCCATGTGAAAGTCCAGCCATTGCAATGAAACAGAGGGAGAGACCAAAGATAAACCGGTTCAATTCCCACTCCCCACTGCAATAGCAAGCTCAGGGTGCTCAAGTACGCGCCACGATGGCTATAAACCACCCCCTTCGGCGCCGACATCGTGCCAGACGTGTAGTTGAGTAAGATGGCATCCCACTCATCTGTAATTACCAGAAGTTCTGCAGTCAGATCTCCCACCGCGATTAGTTCTTCATATTCTAAGCCTCCGACAGCATTTTTGTGTGTCATGGCGCCGGCCGGTTCTGTGAGATCTCTTTCCCTAACTGTTCCTCTCTGAATTGGATTTTCCTCCCAGGATCGGCCGGGACGATATTGAGATCGTCCAGTCCGATCAGTGCATTGAAAACGGCTGATTTCTGGA